TTATTTGTGCTAACATAAACCGTGTAGGTGTGATTAAAAACGAATATAACATAACGTGTCAACTTTTATAATAGATTTCAATTTATTTATTATCTTATGATTAATTTATTAAATTATCAAATGCCTTTAATTATGACTTTCTTCTTTTTTAGGTTGATATAATTGTCAATAAATTTATTTCTTTAATTAGAATGTGTCAAGAACATATTTGAGAAAAGAATCAAATATTATCTTAATTTTCTGAAACATTAATTATTTTGGAACAACTTTTAAGAGCTAAAATATTAATTATTTTGGATAAGATATCTTTTAATAATGGTTAATTCTTGATGTCGATCATTATATCACGATTTAACCTTCATGCATGAATCACTATAAAAGAATATGAATTATCCATAGACAACTTTTGTCACTAAATAGAAAAATAGTAATGAATTATTAAAAAAATTGATAGCTATGAGTATTTATTAGTAATAATTTAGCGATAAATTTCGTAACTAATTCTATTTTTTTTAAAAGTGAATGTGGAACTTTCTTATAGTTTCCTAATTAGATAATACTTGTATTTTCTTCAAGACAAACTAATTAAATTATTCCTTTTTTGTATAGTTAGCAGCGTGCGTACAAATGTCATAATAATTTCACGTGTTCAAACTCAAGAGTGCACATTAAGAAAAAAAAATCTTTTATTTTTTCTTAAGAACGGAACGATTTTATTTATTTATAATAAATTTTATCAACCTCAGAGGTTAAAAGGATGGGTTCATACTTCATACAAAGGGAAAACTATTTTAAATAAATAAATAAAATTTTATTTATTTTTTAGGCTTAATATATAAATATAAAAAATTATTTTAAAAGTATTTGTATATAATGTAATCAAAAGTGGGATAATAATAGGTAATTTTACATAAATTTTATAGTGTTAAGAGTTAATTACATCATATCTTTACTTCTTCTTTTTTCAAATTATAAAAATTCCTTAAAATTTAAGAATTCTGTGTACATCATCAACGTCCCGATACATGGTGCTAGAGATGACAATGAGGCGGGGTGGATTTTAGGCTATGCGGGACGGGGCGGGTTTGAGGTTGTGTGGGGTGGGAAGGATGCGGGCGGGTTGAAGTGGTTTTTTCTTAAAAAAAAACTAATGCGGAACAGGGCGCGGCGCGGCGCGGGTATATGTGATTTTATGTGGGTTCAAACTTAATTTTAACTTTTTACATGTTATAAGAGTAATAGTGCATTATTTATTAAGATAATTTCTTTAAAGCTACTAAATTATCTAAGAAAGTAAATGAAAATGGTTCAATAAAAAATAATACAATATCTTACATGTTTCCCAATTGACCTCTAAAAAAATAAATTTCTAAGTCATTTTCTATTAAATTAATACAACTTAATGAAAAAATGAATTAATGAATTTTATTTTTAGTATCAAAGTTAACTAGAAAAATAAAATGTTAAAAAAATTTATGTGGGGCAGGGCGGGGTGGGGCAGGTTGAAAATAAAAAAAGTTGTTATGCGGAGCGGGGTAGGTTAAAAATTTTGTGGGTCAAGTTAAATCCGCCCCGCCCCCGCTCCACACCACCCCATTCCCATCCTTACATGTAGTTCTGATACATCACCCAACGTCCTAATACATCACATTTACGTTATCTTTGTTGATCATATAAGATACACTTATCCCGATATGACACTCAACGTCTAATACATCGCGTTGGCGCGTCCCGTTACATTACCTTTGTTGATACAAGACACACTTGTCCCAATACATCTCGTCTCGATACATTACTTTTGTTATACAAGATACATCTATCCCGATACAATGCTCAATATTTGATATATCAAGTCCCGATACATTTCCTTTGTTGATACAAGACACACCTGTCCCGATACATCACATAAGAGTGATGTATCTAAGAATAGGAGAGTGATATTTTTCAAATAGTAGGAAATTTTAGAGAACATGATCAAATAAGTTGTGTATTTATATAATTTTTCCATTAATAATATAATATGATATCTCCTTATCAAAGAATGTTGGATCCTATTATATTGGGGTTATAAATGTTTAAGCCCAACCCACCTTTTGAATCTGAGCCTATTTTAATGGGAAAATTATATGAAATAACAAATTATTAATTCAAATTAAATGTTATAACCATAGTTTATTTTAATTGTAATTCGCAATAAACATCCCATTTTTTTGCCATCTGATTCGATATACAATTAGCCATTTTCGGTATGCAATTACCCATTTTATACATTTCGGTATTAAATGTATAAAATGTGTTTGTGTTTGTATAAATCGAGAGAAAAGTGTATATACAAATACAAATACATATATTTTCATCTTATACACTTATAATTATACAAATACAGATCTTATTATACAAATTACAATGTATAAATAAATTTATACAAATCTGAACAATTTGTATAAAATTGGATGTTTGTAGCGAATTATACAAATCAAAAGCTCCATAGCAAACATAAAATTTGCTATGGAGCGGAATTATGCAAACTATAGTTATAACATACAAATATGATTTTTATGTTTGCTATATGTGAAAATTGCTCTATTTTATATGACCAATTTTAAGCTGAGCCCATTCTAACTTAACACTTGAATAACTTAGAAGGATTTACGTTTAAATTCTGACGATCATCGTGACTTATTATTAAGAAAAATCTTGGGATTAAATCTTTGTGATTCGTTAGGATTTTGCCTACAAATTCTTGACAATCACCGCAAATTATTGTTAAGAAAAGTCTAGCCCAATATCAAATAAGTAATCTTAGCAATTGTTGAAATTTTGCTCAAGATTCTAATGAAATAATTATCTCTTAGAACTTTTTTTGAACGAGATCAATTTTTTAAAGGTAACAACTAAAATTGTCTTATTTGTATAATTCACTCATTTGCATATCCAGCTTAAATATTTAATGTACTAAAAGATTGATTTATAACAATTATTAATGTGTTTCTAGCTACGTGATAAAACCTTTTACAAAAATATAAGATTTTCATAAGACTGATATTTCTTTCTACAATTAGGTAATACATATTATACATATCTAAAATATATCTAATAACACACTTAAGAATCAATGATAATTCAGCTCTATAAAATTCAATAATATTGTATGACATGAAAATATTATTTCTTTAAGTTGATGCATTTACAACCTTTCCAACAATAATAATATGTAGTAAAGCTCTACATGTAAGATCCGTAGAGGATCGAGTATATGTAAATCATATTCCTATCTTGATAAGATGGAGATATTATTTTCGTTGAATTCTCAATTGAACAAATGATGAGAAAAAGACAATAATAACCAACAAAAATAACTAATACTATACAAATCAAATAATAGGGATATATTGCCATTAAAATAAAATTTGTTCACCTTTTCCTTAAAAAAGAAGAAATTCAACAATGTGGCTTGTTTGAAAATAATAAGAGAAATTATGAATTTATAAATATAATTGCCTAAGTGCCTAACTTGTGAACATTATTATATATCCGCTTGGACTTATTCTTTAATTAATTTATTTCTGGATAATGGAATATATTTTATATATATAGTTAGATATAGTGACATTACATAGCTGAATTTGAGAGGATAATGAACATGTCGATGACTCGATATGAAATTTTAAATGCATTGATGAAGTTAAATTTTCATTAAAGAGATTTAAATATATTTTTAAAAAATTAGATAAAGAAACTAAAGAGATTCAATGTTGAGATTGAACCTGAGGTTTGACGTCATTTGTTTATCACAGAACAAGTCCCCCTCAGTCATTGTCGAACAGTTGGGGCCAAATTCTGAAGAAAGCTAAAAAGCGTTGTTTGATGAGCTTGCGTAGTATTAGAATCCTTTGACTTTTAATGTCGAAACCTTGAAAGCAAGGAAGGGCCGGCTATCTCCTACTTTAAATAGAGAAAATCCCTGAAATTCTCTGATGCCGGGGATTCTGTCTAAAAAATTCCTTCTATGGTTCCACATGAGAAATCAATACGAATATAACCTACATGTCCAATTGAACTATGAGCTAGAAGTCTTTTTACTTTCGTTTGGGCCATGGCGGCACATGAGAAATCAGTACGAATATAACCTACATGTCCAATTGAACTATGAGCTAGAAGTCTTTTTACTTTCGTTTGGGCCATGGCGGCCAGTGCTCCGTGTTTTGAAGTATATTTGCTAGAGGTATTAATTAATGGTTGATTAGTTATTTTTTTTTAAAAAAATATACATGTCGATTTTTATTTTAATTACTTCATCATACATAATCCAAATTAAACTTTTAGAAATCATCTTGATTTCAGTACGATTCAGTTAGTTTTCAATTTTTTTAACATCATCTAATGACGCCAAAAAACCTACAAATTGATTCTAATACAATCATTTTTCCAATACTACTCAATTGTCAAACCCTTTTGCCAGCTTTACTTAACCAATTGATGACCTTAATCATTTAAATTAAATTATTAATAGATTTATATTATTATATTCAATAATCAAGATCCACGTTTGTATATTATATATATTGATTCCCACGTTCCACCCTCAAAATTGGTAACTAATTTATATTATAAGACATACTTTTATATGGACAAAAACAACTCATTAATAAACCCCACTTCTTTATAAATCGTAATATCTGAGTTAGTTTGAGTACAATCCAATTAATTTCACAAACAACATAGATATTGGGTGCTCTATTTTATCAATACTCGAACATATCAAAAAAAAAATTCTATAGATTCAAATACATTTGTGCTCAATACCATAAGTTTGCCCTTATTTTCTACGCTTTGACTTTCCAAATTGGTTAATTAGGATCACTATAAGACTTTCTTAGCTTGTAACGTAGGCTCAATTGATGTTGACCTATATTTTCTTGATTATTTTGGTTGTCAGCCTTGCGAATAAAACAACAGACGGTAACAAAAACATATTCATTTTAGGAGGACAAAGCAACATGTCTGGTAGAGGAGGAGTAGTGAACAACATTTTTGATGGATTTATTCCACCAGAATGTCAATCCAATTCATCAATTCTAAGACTAACAAAAGGACTTACATGGGAAGAAGCAAAAGAGCCAATTCATCAAGACATTGATTTCTATGCAATTTGTGGGATTGGTCCTGGTATGTCATTTGCTAATTTTGTGTTGAAAAATGATCCAAACATAGGTGTGATTGGTTTGGTTCCATGTGCTGTTGGTGCCACAAATATTAGCCAATGGTCTCAAGGTTCAATTTTTTATAATCAAATGCTGAATAGGACTCGAGTCGCTTTACAAGGTGATGGAATGCTTCGAGCCCTTCTTTGGTATCAAGGAGAGACTGACACTCTGAATGATGGTGCTAAATTGTACAAATCAAGATTGTATAAATTCTTCACCGATGTGCGCAATGACTTGAATGCACCTTTCTTACCTATTATTCAGGTAATTTGAATGTCTTACTCATAATTGTTAGTATGTATAAATTATTATTTTTTCTTTAGTATATATAATTGTCAGATAAACAACTTAAATTTACCTATCTTCTCACGATATCTTACGTTTTGCTAAATTTGAACATAATTTAAGTTATATACTCTAATAGTATAAATTAATGTCCAAAATAGGTGTAATTCAAGTGGAATTTAAGTTTTATAAAAAAAACTACTTAATTAGACAAACATTCATACCATAGTTACAAAAAATGTCCTTATAGTTTGAAATAAATACATATTGTCTTATTAATTGATAATTTCATACCAGATTACATGTCAGATACACCTAGATACATGCATTTTTACTACTAGATACACAAAAATATGGAGAGAGACGAGCAGGATAGTCTATGTATCCCATATACATATGAGTCACACTAGATACATATATCTGGGATCCCAAATATATGGAGAGGTGAGTGAGAAAGGAGAGTTGTGAGTGAGATAGGAGAGAGGCGAGCGAGAGAGTCAGATACATGCGAATCCACTTAGATACAATGTATCTTGAATAAATTACACCTAATTTTGACCCCATGTATCTAAAGTCCAAACTCTGGCAAGATGCATAACATTGCAAACTAACGTAAATTCAAGTACTTAGCTCATAAACTAGTGAAATCTCTATAAATTACCCTTAAGTTATATACGCTAATAATGGGCTTTGTTTGTGGATACACAGGTGGCATTGGCATCAAAATTTGGGCCTTATACAGAGGAAATAAGACAGGCCCAATTAGAAACTCAGCTTCAAAATGTGAAAACAGTTGATGCTAATGGGCTCAAAATAGGCCCAGATTTTGTGCATCTCAGTACTCCATCAGAGGTCCAACTTGGACAAATGTTGGCTAATGCCTTTCTGGGCTTTGGTTCAGCCCATAGTTTATTATAATTTTTTCGGAAAAGGGTCAAAATCATTAGTTCTTATAAATTTAAATTTTATGCACTAACGATAATAAAAAAAATATTAATACAATAAGATCAATGATAATGATATACTAAGCATTAATTAGTTCATTCAATGAGGCTATCATAACTCAATAATTCTTTTTTTTGTTTTCCAGCTTGTGTTTGGAATTCACATTGAGACTTTAATTATTTCAAATTTGCGTAGTGCAAAACCTATTTAAGGAGAAAGTGTTCCTAATCGATCTTTTTTCATATCCAAGAATCAAACTCAAAATCTCAAATGAATAATGAAGGTATCTTATTTATCCCGCCACAACCTTTATTTGCTACCGACTCTCTCAAGCATGAGTATTTTTTTTCCTTTTTGTTTTCTCGATATTTGGTATTTGTATTAAGGGTCGACTAAATTTGAATTCGTATATTGCATGTCTTATTTCTGGGTCGATGCTCCTAACATAACTTTTTCCATTTTGAGTTACTCGAACTTAAGACTTCTAATTAAGAATAGAGGAATCTCAATCATTTCATACAACTCAGATTATCAACTTGCTTTGAAGTATACATAATACACAATTGTTAAACTCTTTTGCCAGCTTGATTAATCCAACCAATTATGGGCTTAATCATTCAATTAAAAAAAAAAATTGACAACAAATTTTATATTATGATATTCAAGATTCAAGATCCAAGTTTATAGGTCATTTCCACGTTCCACCTCATAGGTAATTAATTTGACTTTCTAGAGATCTCAAGTAGCGTTTGTTTGAAGTTGTTTTAATTTTAAATGTGTTTATATGAACTGTTACTTGAAAAACAAAATTAACTTAAAGGTGTTTATGTGGAAATAAATAATTTTCTTTATCTTTTTTTTTCTAGTGTATGGTAGCATAAAATATTATCTCAAAAGTATTTGTATATAATTTATTCAAATTCTATGAGGGTGGGATTTGAGGTATGGGGGTGAAGGCGATCAGAGGTGGAGCTAGGATCTAAATATTATGAGCTCGAGATTTTAGCTTATTTGAGTTATTACATTCTCAATTAATAATTTATACCTTTTAAATAAATTTTAAAGACAAATACATAGTTTAAACCAAAATTACAAAATCTTGTTGAATCCCCTTCCTACACTCTACTCTACTCTCGGTGGCGATGGGTTTATGAGGGTGAGGTATATTGGAGAGACAGAAGAAGATAATCAGTATGAAATATCATATGTAACTTATTTTTCTACTTCCATTAGAAATGTCATTTTCCTAATTTTGGAGGTGCAGGAGGAGCCAATCAGTATGAAATATCATTTATGAAACATATTTTTTCTGCTTCCACTAGAAACATCATTTTCCTCATTTTTAAAAAACTCGTTATCCTAAAAGAATGGGAATTTTTTTTCTAATCATCCATACCAAACCTACCTAACTATTTCTCTTCAACTTTATGTCATTTTCCACCACTCATCTTTTATCCTAAAAGTCCTTCAATTGATACCACATAGAATCTTCAATCTTTATTGAATCTTTTTTTCTTTTCCTTCTAAATCATGTTGTCCAAATCTCTCATGTTCAATCTTCATCATCCTCATCCCCACCATGAAATTTTCACAAAACCAAAACGCCTATATTCCCTTACAACATCTTCAATACCAACTAATAGTACTAAAATTCTTGTTTCACAAAACAAACTTGTACACACTTTTTTCAACAAAAAATGTAACAGCAAAAACAACAAAAACATTATTTTTCCTATGGCATCATCAACTAGTCAATTTGATGAATTTCACCCTGATCCTAGCCTTACAAATGATGATCTCAAACCAACGTCGATCGATCAACGTAACTTTTCAGGTTGGGAAATGGCTAGTTTATGGATTGGACTAGTTGTTGGTGTGCCCTCATATTATCTAGCTGGTAGTCTAGTTGATCTTGGCATGTCATGGTGGCAAGGTATTGCAATTGTTGTATTAGCCAATTTAGTAACTTTAGTACCACTTATATTAATAGGTCAACCAGGCACAAAATTTGGGATATCATTTCCTGTTTTGGCTAGATCATCATTTGGTATTAGAGGTGCACATATTCCAACACTACTTAGAGCTTTAGTTGGTTGTGGTTGGTATGGTATTGAAACATGGATTGGTGGTGAAGCAATATTTCTATTATTACCAAAAGTTGTTAAAAATTCATCTTTGTCACAATCAATATCTTGGCTTGGCACATCACCTCTTGAATTTGCTTGTTTTATAACATTTTGGATAGCACAATTGGCTATTGTGTGGAAAGGGATTGATGGTATTAGAGAATTGGAAAAATACTCTGCTCCAATACTTATTTCACTCACTTCTTGTTTACTAATTTGGGCTTATGTTAAGGCTGGTGGATTTGGTCATATGTTAGATTTATCATCAAGAATCACAAAATCCGAATTTTGGTCACTATTTTTCCCATCACTTACTGCAAATATCGGATTTTGGGCTACGTTAGCACTCAACATACCTGATTTTACTAGATATGCCAAGAGCCAACATGATCAAATTATAGGCCAAGCAGGGCTACCAATATTTATGGGGTTGTTTACTTTTGTTGGTGTAGCTGTTACATCATCAACGAAAGTGATTTTTGGTCATGTAATTTCAAATCCCATTACTCTTTTAGGTGAAATTGGTGGATTGTTTACAATGATTTTAGCTATTTTTGGTATTAGCTTAGCTACAATTACAACAAATATTGCAGCAAATGTTGTCGCGCCGGCTAATGCATTAGTGAATCTTAGTCCTTCAAGATTCACTTTTAGAAGAGGTGCAATTTTAACAGCATTGCTAGGGATTGTTTGTCAACCTTGGAGATTGTTGAAATCAAGTGAAAGTTTTGTGTACACATGGTTAGTTGGATATTCTGCATTATTGGGACCAATTATGGGAATAATTTTGGTTGATTATTACCTAATTCAGAAGATGAATTTGAGTATCAAAGATTTGTACACATTGAGTTCAAATGGTGCATATTATTACTCAAGTGGATATAATTTGGCAGCAATTTTGGCTTTGGTTGTTGGGATTTTGCCAGTAATTCCAGGGTTTTTGCAAAATGTTGGGATTTTAGATTCAATTCCAAAATCATTTGCCATTATTTACAACAATGCTTGGTTTTTTAGCTTGTTTTTAGCAGGGGGGCTTTATTGGATTCTTTCAATTTTAAAGAAAAATCAAAAGGAAATAGATCCTTTGTTGCCTAATATATCTTAGGTTAGTTCTATATATACAATTGTTATTTTTCCATTGTATTTGTTTATATATTGAAATAAAAGAAATACATATAGTATTTGTTTTCATATTTTCTTCTCTTGCAAAAATAGGTTGCCTTATGTGTTACGAGCAAGACAAATGACATATTTTGTCTCGTGATATAAGTTTATGCGTTTCATGTTGTGAGTTGTAATGATATCATATGATTTGTGAGTAATACAACAAGATAGTTAGATTGTTCATAGAATAAAGTTATATATGTATGTTCACATTGTTAGAGGCACTGAAAATAGGCAAATATCAAGTTTCAAGCCTTTTTTTGTCAAAAAAAAATAAGGAAAAACATTGCTAATTAATGGAAAAATAAACAGCAACAGAAAGGGAACGATTAATCATTCTCTAGTTCGATCCAAATGCAGGATTTTGGTTGGACCAAGTTAAAAATATTTGGACTTGAGTAAGCTTTGTTGACAGAGTAATCGAAAGAGTAATATTTGCGATTGGCCAAATAGTAGAAAACGCCCTTGTTGTTGTCGTGAAACATTGAGAAATATATCTTGTTTCCTAGTCCCTGTGCAACAAATGTTTTCAAGTACGACCCTCCAAAACTCACAAACAATGTTTTATTATCCAAACTTGTTATTTGTTCCCTCTCCAACTCTTTTCCATTTATTTTGTACCTCCAAACCTCTACATCCCCTTTTTCGCGACTTAAAATCACAACTAACATTCCTCCATTATCAACATCTTCTGCTGTGTATGCCTTTCTAATTAATCGTTTTTTTGAACTTGGAAAATAACTCCCATAAAATTTCCACCTAGGTCTTTTTGCAGCTGAGTTTTCATTGATGCGTAGTGTTCCCAAGTTACCTTTATCTCCGAGTAAGTAGATAGTATTGTTTTTGAAAAATAACGGATTATTGCACCCTATTGCCATAAATTTTCCTGGGTTCAAGGAGTAGTGATACGTCCATTCAGTATCTCCAACTTTGATGATGTACACATCTGGGACATAACCAATGGCTTCAAAACCAACAACGAAACAATCCGATGATGAGTAAGGAGGACACGAAAAAGTCCAAGCAGAGCAAGAATTTTTGTGCTCCTCTAGTAGTTCAGGGAGTTCAATTATGTCATTGCTAATAGGATTGAAGAAAAACATGCCGCGATTGTCATGACTCACAGGGGCAGCTCAACGTAATCGGAGGCCTAAAGCGAAATCTTAATTAGAGGCCTAAAATCTAAATAAACTTCACATGCATTTATTTAAAATTTATTTTTCTTACATTTTTAAATGCAAAGTATTACTTAATATTTTTTTATATATAAATGATTCATTCGATTTCTTTTTCAATTATTAGTTTTAAATAAGATTTATCAATTCAACGTTGAAAATATAATTTTACTCGGGCAATCATTATATGAATTGTTAACATAGTTCTACAAGTAATAAGTTGACAGATTTCAAATAAGTATAAGAGTTAGAACCATAGCTTTGATGAAGTTGATAATTTGGTTACCCCACATTTTACTATGGTTGTTGTAATGCTTGAAAGTCTAAGAAGAAATGGAAAAAGAATTTACGATTCACTTTGTTAAATGCTTTTCAACTATTAATTGATATTTTTGACAGAATATTACTCTAACTTATCAAAAAAATTTAAAAAAAGAGTGTAAAAGGAGTTAAAAAGAATAAAGTAATGTGAGTATTAATTAGTGGAGAGAGTGTAAGAAATAAAACAATATTTTCTTGATTTCTTCTATTTGAATGAGGTTGAAGAGAATAAAATAATAATTTTAAATTATACTTTTATCATAAATAATTAATATTTTTCTATAAAAATTAACACATAATTTATTCTTGATAAAAAATTGAGGCCCCTAAAATTGGGGCCTAAGGCCAATGCCTTATTAAAGTATGCATAGAGCCGGCCCTGATGACTCATGAGCAACCAATTAGCTTTTGAGCTCCGAATTCGGGCACCCCTTAATTTTGGAATACCCATCTTTTGAGTAGTTACGACATTGTACACCAGATCAAAGAATTCTACTATGCCTGTTTCTTTACGCAAGGTCATCAAACAAGGCCATTGCGAAGATGATTGTTGGGGAGGAGGAGGCATTAGGGGAGCATAGCACCATTTTTTACAAAGTATTCAGCAACAACAAGATGTGATGATGACGAGGATGAGAATTCTGATGTTGTTCCATGGAGGGAGTTTGAGGATGTTTACAAAATTGTAGTATTTCGGTTTGATTTTGTAAATAAAGTGTGGGAAGAGATGAAAAGCATTGGTGAAACTGCAATTTTCTTAGGTCCTTGTTTTGGGGGAACAACATGTTGTACGAGAGGCACTAATATTAAAAAGAATCCATCTACTTCATTAAGGGCCGTTATCTCTGTATTTTCAATTTGGAAACACAGAGTATATCAGTATCCCATATTTCCAAGACAAAGTCACCCTCGTATTGGTTAACGCATATGGACGCGTGAGATGAAACAGTTTTGAATGAGATAAAAAGTTTGATTTATCTTCTAAATGTCTATGTATTTTCACAAAGATGTCAAAAGTGTTTTTTATTGTATTGTTCGTTACTTAAATTTTATTGTATTGAAGCGATTAAATTCATCATTAGGTAACAATGACTTAACTCTCTTGACAAACAGAGGCAAATGTGAGGAGATGATTAAAAACTCAAGAGAAATTTCTCGCGACTACAGAATTGTTTTAGACAAATAAAAAGCACTATATATATAAGTGGGCACACTTTTGATGTTAACAATTAAGTTATACGTTGTGACAATTAAAACTAAATTAAGTTTATTTGTATGACTTCCTAATGGAGTGGTATACAACAACAATTATATATCTAGTCATGTAATCTTACAAGTGGAGTCGAGATAGGGATAGGGTGGTGTGTACACAATCTTACCCCTACATAGGGGTTGATTTCTCATGTGATCACTCAACCAATAGTTATTATCTCAAGAGTGGTAGTTCTCTTGATTCCAAATGTGTAACAACCCCAATAATAAGACCAACACAATTCAAACTCAAACAATCGATAAATCTATTTCATTAACTCGTAATTGGAATTACAAAGGAATTTAAGAACTACATGGAAATTGAAGAACACAAGTAAAAGAAAGGGATGAGAAGTAGAACTCAAAGAAAGGGGATGAGAGGGCTAGACATTTTTCTCAACAATTTGCATAATCCCTAAATCACATATCACTACCCTTTTTTATGGAACCGTTCTCATGCCCACTACTCAACCCGGATCCCAAATTAACCTAGCCCTATTGCTTGTTCTCGACCCAATAGCTCTTATCAGCCCAATGACTACTTGTGTGACCTCGATATCCACATTGGGCTGGACCTAGTTCATAACAAAATGTCTATATATTTTCACTATGATATGAATGTTGTATTAATTACTTTGTTAACACCTTAGCTTGTTTGGGTAGTTGTTACCCGTGGTATTGAATTATATGTTGAATATATAGCATAAAGTCATACAAATCTATCATGATTTACATGCCATCGTTACCCCTTTTTTATTTCATTTATGAGATTAAATTCTCTTCACTACACCGTTGGTTTATTTTTAGAAATATTTATTTGTCTTAAAATACTCATATATTGAGATTAACTTCTTGTCCACTGTAATTTTCTCTTGATTTATGTGGTGTAAAATTCAATAAAATAAAGGATTAATTACAGAAATCCCACTTTTTAGTTTACTTATTACCATTATCCCCTATAAGTTTTACAAATCTCCAAAATTCCTCATTTTCACGCATTAGATTAATATATCTCGCGCATCAGATTAGTGTATCATGTATAAAATGTACATCAGATTAATGTATCATGTATAAAATGTAATGTATCTTACTTAACGATTTATGTATCTCGCGCATCAGATTAATGTATCAACGCTTATATTATTGTATCCGTTTGAGGGATTTCTGTAATTATACACTTTTAAGGGATAATTGTAATTTTGCCTTAAAAGTATGTGATTTCTGTAATTTGCCCAAAAATAAAGAAGCATTAGTTTAGTTTGGTCTCGGTTTTGAATGACCAAATCTTGTGGGCCTCAGCCCAAGTTAATGGGCCATGTTTCAAATCATTGGGCCCATCTATCTCATTTTCTTTTGTTTTTCAAAGGCCTTCTTCAACAACATTCAAATAGCTGTTGTACTTGATTCTTTGGGCTCTTTCTAATGAGCAATATTTGGGCTGTAGAAGAAAGGGGTAATGCTTTGAGAGTACACATCTAGCTAAACGCTTCAACTCGTCTTTACTGTGTCAGTTGAACAGTACTCTAAATCTCAAACTTACAAAATGATCATCTGGACACTTTCAAAATTTATGTGTCAGTCAGCATCCGGTGTCCACGAGACAGAATAGGAAAAAATTTGGAGTGTTTAGTTGTCGGTTAATGTAAAGTTAAGGTGTCTAGATGTGTGCTTCAAAGTTAAAGTATTTACTCGTCAGCTAACCCTATGTGTTATATCTAAGTTTAACTTAAATTACTATAATAACAACAAGAAGTCAACAACATATCGAGTGTGCATGTCACATCAAATTTTAACAACTCAAATTACTATCATAAAACTGTTTTGTAAAGTTCACCTTTCAATTATATAAAAAAAAATATATTTGTCTATCACATAACACTCACATAATATTTCTCCATATTGTATTCAATGAAACTTGACCCATTAATAAGATATTTACTGTTTTCTAATTATTAATTACTAATTATTATTTTTATTGCTTTGCTAGTTCTTATCGTCTTATTGCTTCCATTTATTTTCAATTTTGTTGTCACTATCCCTTTTCGTAATCGTTGGATTTTAGCATCCATAATCAGTTAAAAATATTAATTACTTTTTCCACAACAAATAGAAAATAAAACTAATATCAGGATCTGCAGCTTATTTAAAACAACAGAAAAAAAGTGAATTGAAAACGAGTTTACCTCACTTTATTAGTACTTATATTTTACAGCAATAAATAGCTGGTAATCATTATATTATTCGCTCTGTCTCAATTTATGTAGCATATTTGAAATTTTCAGAGTCAGCCAAGGTTTTTTTTGGGCGGATTTTTTCATTTGTCATTTAATTTTTTAAGGTTGTTAATTATTGATTTTATAGTATTCTTACATAATTTTCAAATATATAAATTTTATTTTTAAAAAAACTTATAGCTTTTATGTTCGAGCTCATGATCAAAATTCAAAAATTTGAATCTCAAAGTTTTAATTATTTAATATAAATTGGGAAAGAGCGAGTATCAGTTAGACTCATGTTAACCTCCGAGCTTTTAAATATTCTTAATTTTTTATTAATTTTAAACGAGGATGGAATTATAGTTCTGCTTCTAGATTCCGCAAAATTCAGTAGTTTTGACCCGTTATTCTACATTTGTATTTACAATTTTGCTTAATTTGTATAAATAATTTATGTAGCACCTAATATATTTTTTTTTTCTAAAATTCAAAACCAATAAATTCAAAATTCTAGTTCCGTCTCTATTTTCATTAAGTTAAAAATTTAAACAAATTTATAGTGGATGAACTAACCTATTAATAAGTTAATTAAATCCGCCCACTAAAAGAAAACAAAAGAAGTAATTAAACCTAACATATACTCTTAATTAGTATTAATTCTAACTGTCTCTGTCTAATAAAAAAGATATCTAAATTTAATTATGTAAATGATTAAGTATTTAATTCTAACATTTGTTTGCCAGTTGCCATGCATTTACCTGTTTAATTTGACGTCGATGGATATTGTTTTATGGTGACGTTTAATTAATAAAAAGTAAATTACACTGAGATAATCCTCCTTTCTTGACATTTTTTTATAACTAAATTCGAAAATGTCATGTCAAACTTCAGATAAAAAAATGTATGAAGTTTTGCTTGAAAATGAGGTTTTCTTATATAAAGTACAAATTACTATATGAAAATATCGATAATTTTAACTTGTCAAATAAAATCTCAGATAAAAAAATACAAAAAAAATAGATTGCTATCAAACTTTAGAAATTAGAATTTTGATAACCGCCTAACATCAAACTCTTATATTATAAACTTCACACTCAATTTTTTCAAATTTAATTTCTTAAATGTGAAGTTGATTTTGAA